GGGTACCTGTCAAATTGGAAATGGCACACTTAGGATCAAACACTTCTCAGCAGAGTCGGCAGTAAACTGCAGCAGCAGTGCCAAAATAGCAGGTGTGTGGTAATGTCATCAATTACAGATGCCGTAATGATGTACCTAAATCCCTGTTACAGGCACATAAAGTTGAAGCTACTGCCCCCCTCTACCCGCATTTCATCTTTTGCCGCCCTTAACCTCCTTCTCACAAGGGTTCTCCCATTTCTTTTCTTCTTGGTAATTGCTAAGAGTTTGAGCAGATGGTTAAAATTAAATTATTTTCTCTGCAAGCCAAAGCACAACTAGAATTAATACTTGCAATGGGACATCTTTACCTGCTGCAATAACTAAGAGATTATTTCATTATTTAAGTAGAGCAGTTTTGCTAGAGCTATCACTTTGGGATGGCACAAACCCAAATTACCACTAGATGGCAGAAAAGAGATATAGAAAACTCTTAGCTCCTTGCTTTGCCTTCCTCTCATCCTCACTCCTTACCCAAGCCAGCTTAAAGTCATCGTTGTTAGCTCTCTGGATGTTAAAGTAATGTTTTCCCCCTTCAGCAGAAAACAAGCTGTGGCAGTTTCGCCATGTCCCTCACTGGCCACCCAGTTGGTGTTGCAATCAAGGGATCACCAGGGGGTGGAATCAGCAGCAGTTGGCACTTGAACGTGGTGTGCCCCCCCCCTCCTCTGGTCTTTGGCCACTGTCTTCCAAGGCTTCTGCTGTGGGAATGGAAGAATTTGTTCTTTCAAATCAGACTTTCTCCTTTTCCTTGCCAGGTGTCTGAGCAACTCCCTGGCTCAGAGTCCTGGACTGGCCTGAAAAGGGGCTGCATGGTGAAGAGGGAGAGAGAGAACCAGCTCTCTGCTGCTTTCTGTACCACGTTCCTCTCGTCTGCCATGTTTGGGCTGCTTTCAAAGACAGGTTTATCCCTCTTCTAGAATTCTCAGGCTCCCTCTGAATGCAGCTGCACAAAACCAGACTGAGTTTTGGCAGATGGCTAAAAATGCCAGTCTACGCATCTTCTTCCCAACCTCAGCCCACACCAAAGAGAGTGACTGGTTGGATGTTTTCTCATATCTAGTGGCATTGGGTGAAAGGGAAGGGAAATAAAGCTGGCAGAAAAATTTCCAAATCCCTGTCTCTCACTTGACTTAACTCATAATAAAAACAGCACCATTTGTCAGCATCATTCCTGTGGCAAGCCAGTGTATTTTTTTTTTGCTGTTTCAGGAATGGTAAGTAGCACTTTAACTTGGCTGTGAAAGAAGAGCCTGTGGTTGGCTATTAAACCCAGAAGCTGTTCCCCACTGTGTTTACTTTCACAACAATCCTGCGACGATTATGGCGCAAGACAATGACTGCTAAAGATCAACCTGTGAGTTTCATAAGCAGAGTTTGAACCTGGCCCTCCCTGTCATAGTCCAGCACTTTAACTGCTGTCTCCCATCTTCTGACTTTTCACAAAAAAAATAGGGCAGAGGTTGAGACTTTTAACTGGGAGGGACAATGAAAATCGTGTGAGTAATTGTGAAGTGACCTGCTGGTTACTTTTTGGCTACCTCTTTTGGCCCTCTCTGGTCTTGGAAGCTAAACAGGACTAAGCTTGTTAATACTTAGATAGAAGAGACAGAAAGGGGTTCCAGGGTGTTGGCTAGACTGTGAAGTTGAAAAAAGTCAATGGTAAACCACTTCCATATTGCTGCCAAGAAAATGGCATGAACATGTCCATAACATGACTAGGGCTCATGCTTGACTTGAGGCCTTTAGTTTTACTTTATTGTAAATTAAGTTTTTCCATCTTTTACATTCTGAACAAGATTTCAACTGCACATATTTCCCAGAATTTGGTTCTACATCTCATTGTTTCATGCTAGCTTGATGATTATGCATAAATTTTCTTGCCATCTGTTGTAATTATTTTTTACACATTAACAAAAAGACACTGTTGGCACCCCCTAAGAAAATATGGATGCTGTCTGGTAAGGCATATGTACAGATATTTGTCAGCTTCCAGAAATGGACAGAGTGCTAAATCATTAATCTGAAGGGCACACATGTCTCCAAAGAGGAATGCCATCTGTGATCATTGTGAATTTGCTGGGATATTAGCTCTCTAGCTCTCTAGCTTTCTTAATCCTTCAATCAGCAGAAGTCAGTCTATAGATTCTGTCTGACTCTTCTGATTTGTTTTCACTCTAAGGTGTAATAGTTTGTTATTATGTAAGGATTTGTTAACCAGCTGTGATTTTCAGGTCTAATTAGTTTAGGGCAAGAATGACATTTATGACAAGTTTACCATGCTGTTAACGGGGTTTTTTTTGGGGGGGGGAGGTATCATATCATCAAATTTAACTACAGATCAATTTAATTTTCACCAATAGTAGGAAAAGGCACCCATGAAAACCTTATGGGTTGCTCAGTTGGTCACCTACATTGTACCTTGGTGGTCAGGTCTGTGGGGACCCAAGGCAAAATGTCACTCTTGACCATTCTGTTGTATTCCCTTCTTATCACCGCCCTGGTTATTCCCCTGCCTTCTTCCCAGGAGCTAGCAACTATGAGCAAAAAAGGTGCTCAGTTCCTTGACTTTTATTTTAATCATTTCTACAGGTTGGGAGCAGAGCCTAACAAGGAACCTTGTCTCTGGATCCTTCTGGTCCCTGTATAATGGGGGGGGGGGACCATAATTGGTCCCCCAATTATGAAGATAATTGGCAGATGCAATGACTTGCATCAAGTGTTAATATTTGATCTGTTTGACCCATTGGCTGCTACATCACGCTCCCTTCAGCTGCTGTTTATTTGGAGTCCCCTGGCTGTGTGGCTCCAGATTCTAGTCCTAATGATGCCACTGATTTTAAATGGAAAAGGACAAGCATATCTCTCTCCATTGATAGCTTCCCCATTGACTTTGCTTGTGGGAAACTGTCGTTTTCTTTGTTTCTGTGAATACCTTGATTTGGTCTAAGTTGTTCCAGGCTGAGGAATCGTGTGGGCTCTCTGAAGACAAAGGTCTCTGAGGTACATAAATAAGACTGTTCTTAGAACTATTATTACTTAAACCAAGCGTGAAGGGAGGCAGTTCCTCCAATAATCTTTGTTTGTGCTACATCTGTTATCTTTTATGATAACAGATTTTGTATTTAGTAAGCTTCATCTGAATTTTGCATCCATGTTGTCTCAAAGAACCCATTTAGGCAGCAAGGTGAATGAAAAGGCTGTCAACCAAACTGCTTGCCTATAGCTTGGGTTTGTTTTGAAAGCATCCTCCAAAACCCTAAAATGTTGATAGTGGCATACTGTATAGAAAAATATCTACTGCCGACAGTTTGTAGGGCTTAGAATGCAATATTAAACGTGTCAGCTCAGCTATAATGGCATTGTGTATTGCATTTTATGCTTCACGGGCTTGGCCTGCTGTGTTATTTTTGGGAAAATGCAGCACAATACTCTGCGCACACACTCAGAAGTATTGTAATGTGGCTTTGTATTAGGTAAAGATATAGGATGCATACATACCTTGAAACTCAAAGGGAACTTAACTTAGTTTGGATATAGACACATACAGGTAGTCCTTGGTTAATGACCATAGTTGGGACCAGGGACTCCATCGCTAAGCAACACAGTTGTAAAGTGAAAAATCATGTGACTGTGCCGGTTACAATGGCAGTTTCAGTTGCAGTCGTTAAGCACAGTGTCACATGACTGAGACTTCCTGCCAGCTTCCCCATTGACTTTGCTTGTTGGAAGCTGGCAGTAAAGGTCACAAATGGTGATCGTCTGACCATGAGACACTGCGACCATCGTAGTTGTGCATCGGTTGCCAAGTGTCCAAATTGCAATCCTGTGACCACGGGGTTGCTGCAGTGGTCACAGCTTTGAGGCCATAAGCCTCCTTGTTCAGTGCCATTATAATCAAACGGTTGCTTGAACAAGTGGTTGCTAAGTGAGTACTACCTGTATATGATTGAGGAGTAAAGACAGTAAAACTGGCTGGTGAACAATTTTATTCTGTAAGGAAAAAAAAGTTTTTAAAAGACCAAAGGCCAGCAGATTTAGGAATTTTCTTTGTTTTTTTGACAAACCAAACATGTGAAACCCTTGAAGCATTGCCTCAGTGCAAGGTAATGGTTTGCTAAATCATTAAGGAACCAGTAAAGCTTTATGGCCATATGTTTCATGTAATGAGTAATCTGGAGAGAATATTGAGAAGCATGTCATTTTGATTAACCAGATACTTAGATTTGGTAGCAGACTTTGAGTAAAATATGCAGGGGAAAATTAACATTTCTGTCTTACTGGTAGTTTTTGTTCTTTGCAGTCTAATGGAACATTGGAAAGAAATTATGTAAAAAGGCTTGGGACTCTGGTTCACTGGTCTGCCTGCCTTTCAGCAGGATAAGATTCCCGAAACAGAGCAGAACGGGATCCAATCTGATGTGGCAGGAGAAGCCAACAACGGTAAGATTGCGTTTGAAAACGGGCTGGATGCTGCAGAGAAGAAGTTCCAAAAAAATCCCCCCAGTATATCCCTATGAGAAACTCAGCTGGGTGTGGGTTCAGAATGCTGTCCACTGCACTCTTTTGAAGTCTCCTCCCTCTTCTTTTCTGGTCACACGATCCAGAATGGAGCTGCTAGCAAGGGATCGGAAAGAATTCCAGAAGCCATGATTTGTGTGTTTTCTGTACATTGTTTTTCTTTCCAACCCAATGGTATATTGGACAGAAATTATGTAAAGAGGTTCAAGAGTCAGTCTGCCCGCTAACCATCAGCTGATAACTCTCCAAAAACAGAATGGAACTGGATAGTATCTGTTGTAGGGAGCCCACGCAGATTGAGTTAATTGTTGTTTGCAAAACTTGCCCAGCTCCTTTGAAAAGACATGGTTAATCATCAGCCCTTTTTCTTTCAAAGTTAGAAGGACGCAGTTCTGAAATCACTTGCTTGCACTCAAGAAGGGAAGAGCGTAAGGTCTTCAGGTTACCATCAGTTGCTCACTCAAAAACACCCAAAGAAAACTGAAAACATGGGGAGAAACCAAGGTAACCAGGCAAAAGAAGCAAATGCAAATGAAAACAAGATCCAGCTTGAAAAGACAATTGGTTATTTAGAAGGAGTTAGCTTCATAGTAGGCACCATTATAGGTGCAGGGATTTTTGTCTCCCCAACTGGAGTGCTCAAATATTCCTTGCTCAATGTTGGTGTGGCTTTAATAATCTGGACGGCGTGTGGCATCATCTCCCTGATGGGTGCTCTCTGTTATGCGGAGCTAATCACAGCATTGCCGTGTTCAGGTGGGGAATACAGCCACATAAAAAGAGCCCTTGGCTCTCCACTGGCTTTTATCTTCTTATGGACAGCAATGTTCAACAGACCAGCCTCAAATGCTGCTCGAGCCTTGTTGTTTGCTGAATATGCCATTCAACCGTTCTATGGGGAGTGCGCAGCTCCTGAGATGGTAAAGAAATGTTTGGCATTGGCTGTTCTCTGGTTCCTTGGGATTCTCAATGGTCGAAGTGTCAAGATGGCTGCCTGGGTGCAGACCGTTTTCACCTTTCTCAAGATGATGGCTCTCTCCATCATTGCAATCGGTGGAATAGTTCTGTTGATCAGAGGAAAGAAACAGAACACAGCCAGATTTGAGAATGCTTTTAGTTCAGAGATTCCAGATGCTGTGCAGATCTCAGAAGCATTTTTCCAAGGGTTGTATGCATATGGTGGCTGGTGGTCCCTCGGCTATTTGGCAGGTATGTCTTCTGTTTTCTTTGTCAGATCACTTGCTGTGCTATCAATTAAATCTTGACTACAGCTAGTCTTCAACTTATGACCATTTGTTCAATGACTGTTCAAATTTATGAGGGCACTGAACAAAGGGCTGTCACAGTACCCCTGCAGTCATGTGATCGTGATCTGGGCACTTGACAACTGGCTCACAGTTATGACAGTTGCAGTGCCTTGCAGTCATGTGATCACTATTCGCAGCCTTCCCTGCTGGCAATGGGGAAGCCAGCAGGGAAGGCCACAAGTCACTGGGGTAAGTCACCACCATGTACCCTCCCCCAGTCCCCCATGTTCACACCACACCAGCCACTCGTGCACCCCTGTGCACCCTCCCCAAGCCTTGCTATGCCTCCCTCACACTCTCATGCACTCTCCCTGACACTCGCCACGCCTCCCTCATACCCTCCCCAACCCTTGCTTTGCCTCCCTTGAATCCTCACACCCCCCCTCCCCCCCTCCCCCTTGCCATGCCTCCCTCA